AGGATGGATCTCTGATGCTGAAGGCCGACAAGAAATTCTGTCTTATTGGAAGGAACGTGGTATTATTTCTCCTAAGTTCCTTATTGGTGATCAGTTCATCAATAGGGGATTCAACTTTCCTAATCTCCTTGAAATTCAAGGAGTTCTCCCTTTCATCCAAATGCAAGGTACGTATTATCCTGACTTAGTTAGGGTATTTTACTCTAGGTTCAAATTTAGAAATCAAATTGCTACCTCTCGTGTAAAGGGGGTAACAATTATTCTTGATGATGATATTTGGGAGAACGTTGCCCATTTTCCTATAAGAGAAGATGCTATTAACGTGTATGGTGAGTTAGATGATTTTGACAGGATCATGACTTACCGTTCTTTTCTGTGAAACCCCTCCATGGAGATTGGGCGTCTCCTTCTTGCTGGACCTTTGAAGAAGGATGAACGCATGATTTTACATTTACTTTTATGGATCCTATGTCCCCGGGCTACGAATCATGCTCAATGTTCTTCAATTGATCTTCGTATTATTCATGCCATAATGAATAATGAACCTTTAGATTGGGGCATTCTTGTCACCATGACTATGTTAAAAGCCAAACGCCATCCCACCTTCAAAATTCCATATGTCCTCCTCGTCTCTCGCATTCTTGATTACAAAGGAGTAAATGTCGAAGGTGAACAAACAGTAAGAACGAATAACTTAAACCGCATGCTGGACATCACATTGAGCCAACTCCAAATGGTGTGTGTCAACAATATTTATGTTCACAAGGATGACGTTCCAAACGAAGGTGACGATAATGAAGATTCTGATGAAGATATGCCTCCTGCTGCTGAGTTTCCCTCTGATCAAATCCAAAGTGTTGGAACTTCCTCTGCTCATCATGAAACCCGACAATCTATGGAAGACATGTTATCTAATATGAATCAAAGGATGCAGACATTCTTCACTCTTTCTGGTGTACGACATGAGGAAATAATTCGCCGTATATCTGATGTACATGATAAAGTGTGCCATTTAGAAAATAGATTTGATGCACACTTTCATAGTGATGATAGTGAAGAATTTTAAATTTGTTTTTATTTTTCTTTTGTGTTGTAATGTATTTTCATTTCTGAAATAAAATGTGGTGTTCTTTTAATGCTTTGATTGAGGGGGAGTTATCTCCAAGTTATGCATATTTTGAGGGGGAGCTCTTATGATTGTTATAGAAGAATTCTTTTTTATTATAATCAAAATAGGGGGAGAAATATTTAAAGCCTACTATGATTGATTTTAAATATTATCTGGTATGTTTAATGTGTTTGTTAGTATGACAGATAAAACAGGTTATTACAAGGCTTTTTAAAAGAAAATTTTGGTCATCATAAAAAAAGGGGAGATTGTTGAACATTCATGGACCTGATGTTGAACTTACATAGACATGAAGCTTGTTGATTTTGATGATGATTCAAGAACAAAGAACTTAGAGAGTTGAAGACTTGTTTTATTGTGTAATAACTCTGTTTTGATTAGTTTGAGTTTGTAATATTAGAGTTTAAGATAACTGGTACATAGTCTGCACTTTAGAAGCTTCAAAAATTCAAATTTATCAGTTTGCCTCGGCTTTAATCGATTAAATGGTCAGATAATCGATTATTACAGTGAGAAAAATCATTTTCTGTATCTGTTCACTGTAATAATCGATTAACACACTTGTTAATCGATTAAAACAGAGAGTTTTGGGGTTCTGTTGATTTTGGCTCTGTAATAATCGATTAACACTTCATTTAATCGATTATTTCAGTCAGATTTTGATTTTCAACTTCAAATTAAACCTATTTTCGAAAATCCTAATCCTAATCCCAATACTCTTTAGTTCCGAAAATCCCAATTCCCAAACCCTAATTTCTCTACTTAAGGTTCTCTAAGGCTCTCAGAAAAAATGAACAACCTTTTTCAAACAAAAGTTAAGTGCTGTGAGTGCCAGAGAACTGTTTGTTGGAGGAAAAAAGGGCTTTTGGAACCTGGTGTGAGCTAGAAGCGATAAGAATCACTAAGTGGAGTTCTTAGTGGATTGTGTGTTGTGTTGTCTCTGGGGAAAACTGTTCTTCATCTCTTGTGGGTTTCAAGAGAGGTGTTTTCTTTACTTTGTATTTTCAATTGTTATCTGTTTGTAACAACTTTGATCATAGTGACAACGTTAATCCTCTGTTTGAGTGATTAGCAACTGGACGTAGGGTCTTTTGATCCGAACCAGTATAAATCTCCTGTGTAGGACTCTATCTCTATCTTATTTACGTTTACACAATATTTTAATCGGTAAAATTTGGGGAAAATTTTTAAAACCTAATTTTTGTTAAGAAACCAATTCACCCCCCTCTTGGTTTTTTGTCCGACCACGCGAACATTCCGCTGCGCGATTCTTACATATTCTGTCATGGCACGAGTGATCAAAGATATCACCATGACATTATATCTTTCCCATGCATCATAAAGGGTCGTGTCTTTGCCAGGCATGACGATGCTACCATAAATGAATTTGAATATGTTTTTTTGAAAAAAACATATGCTTCATGGTTCGGTTCCACAGGTGATAATTATTTTACTTGTTTGGCAAACCATTCCTAATCCACCTCACTCTTTTTATGAAAAAGGAGAGTGAATTCATGTACTTAGTTTTATAATTGTGATTCAATTTGAAGTGAATTTGACATAGAAAGTTTTTAAGAAAAATGTGAAAATTTTACTTTCATGAGTGTTCTTATTTTAGATATGTAATATCTAAAGTGTCAATTGTGATGACTTTTCATAGCAAAATATATTAAGTGGCGTACCAACTTTTTCATGAAGTTATCTTTTTTAATATCTCATGTGACACCATTTTTTCCCCTTTTCATCTTTGATATGTCATATCCTAAAGTTTTACCAATATTGTTTCCTTAGAGTGATCTTATTTAAGTGTGTAATAACTCAAATAACAATCCTCCTTCATCTTTTTTTTTTTTCTATTGAGCATGTGTGTGTAATATCTCAAGGAACACGTTACATTAAGTCAAAATTTATGATTTTGAAGCTTTAAGTAAAAATTCTTATTTTGTTTGGTGTAATGCTTCTTTCTAGAACCTTATCACTGCTTGGGAAAACAACTCCTTAAGATTCATTTGAATGTTAACAACAAATTATTCTAATTATTGTTCAAAAAGTTATTTGTTAAATAACCTATTTGAATCCACAAATTCTTTATAGATGCTTTAATATTTTTCTTGTTTGTGGGAGAAACTTACTTGTCAAGATTATTTTGTCTAAGAATGAGAATAAAAGACAAATCTCGTTTTAGCAACTTATTTTATAAGGATAAATAAAATTAATACGTGACATTAAACATGACATAGATCATAATTTATGTAAGAGAAAGAAAATCATGTTAAATCGATTTTTTTAATAAATATACTTATAGATCATTGATGCAAGAGAAAAAAATCATATTAAATCGACTTTTTTAATAAATACACTTATTTTTCTAATGAAGAGAAATATATATGAATATGAAAGAAAGACCATTTAAAAATTTTAGTTGATCTAATTTAACATAATTTGATGACGATGAACAATTTTTTAAATTTCCAAAAATATAAAGTACTTAAAATCTTTTATGACAAGTTTTGTTCATATCAATGCATGAAGGTTTTAAATAGTATTAGAATTTGATTGGTAAATTATGGATTTTAATTTTCACAATTTTTTATATTGGAACTTGTAAGTGTTTTTACAATTTTTTAATTAAAGATTTTTAAATAATGATTTTTTAGGAATTATAAGGCTTGTTGGATGAAACTAGCCTTAAGTTTTCCCATCGCAGTATATAAAAGACTATTTATGTACTATTTTATTTATCGAAAAACATCCTAAATGCAAATCCGATATTAGATATTCATCACTTTTTCAATAATTTTAATGTATAGGAAATGGTTAATAAATCTCGTGATACGATAATATTTGCATATTTTTTATTTAAAGATTGATAATCGTATTTTTTCTTATCCTCAATTTATTATTAACTAATATCTTTTCCTTGATTGAGTATGTAAGTAATATTTTCATGTTTAATTAACACAACATTATTTTTGAAATTATTCATGAAAAATAATTTATAACTTTGAAACATGTTGCTTGTGTTTTTTTTTTTTTTGAAATATTTTTTTATGTAAATATATTTTAGATTTGCTTGGATTGAATTCATGGTTTTAAATTCAGCCAAGGAAAATATAAATATTTCCACCTTCTTTATAATTATTTTTGAGTTATATCTATAGCGAATGTGTTTGAATCTATGGTATATATGATTTTGGTTCCTTTGGTACTTCCTTTAATAGTTTTTATCTTATTAAAAAAAAAAATCTTATAACTACCTTTATTATGTGTATAAATAAAGAAAGTCTACCATCTTATTGTAAAAAGACAAATCTTCACTGTAATAATTTATTGATTAATTTTTCTTTTAGTTTCTTAAAATATTTTTTCTGTGAATTAAAAAATATTTTAATAATATTGTTTAAAATAAGAATTAAAATAAATAAATAAATGATGTAAACATTTATCACGCATGCATTTATAGAATACCATGTTACCATTTTAATAAATATGTGTATATAAATATTGAAAAGTGATTTCTTGAAATTTTAAGGATTCAATATTTTTTTTCTTTCAATTTAAAAGACAAAAATCAAATTTATCTAAACTCTAGTGAATAGAAATATAACCAAATGCATATTTTTTCTTTTTAAAAATAAACAAATTTGAACGACGGCCCAAATAATTTTTCCGAGGGCCCATATCAGCGAACGTGAAGGACGAAGAACTGAAACTTTGAGAAAGAAGAGAAAACTAGACCCTCTTCTTGTGTCGGATCGAAGAAACCAGCTATGGATTTGTGTTCGTGATTAGCCACGCTACCTTCACTTCGATTTGAATCCTAACGCACTTCACTTTCCCTCCCATTTTTTCTCTTCAAGTGCTTCCCACGATGATGTCCCCGAACCGCGTCTCAGAGGATCGGGGCAACCCACCTCATCATCTCAGGTAAATTTTCCTCTTCTTCGATAAATTTAGACAAAATCGATTCTGTGTTTGGTCTTCTTTTGTTCTTTTCATTTTGAATGTCTATGGACGGTTTAATTTCTGAGGCTATTTGTTTGCTGTTCAATTGGGAGTGTGGCTAGGTGCATTGGAGTGTGCCAATGCTTTTACTGTTTCCTTGAAGCTGTGTCCTAATGTGTTAGTTATTTTAGGAACTGATTTGAAGCTAAACGGGCATCTTTTGGATAGTTATTGCAAGCATTGTTTGCTTTGCGGTGAAGTATCTGCTTGTGTAGAGGGAGAATTTGAAGTTAGTATGAGAGCAAATGCAATGTTCTCAATGATTGCAATTAAACCTCTAACTTGGTTCAGCTTATTTTGAAGAAATAGTCGGTTTATTTTTATTAGCTTTCTGAGAGAATTTTTGAGAAATAAATAATTATTTTCCATAAGTAATCTCTTACCAAATATATACTGCATACATGGAAGGAGATGTTTGCTTCCTGTAGCGATTCTACTGAGCTCGAGCAGGGTTGCTTTCAGTGAAAGATAAGTGCGGTCTGTGCAAATAAAAGTATTATTGTAAATTTAATCCATTAGCATGTGTTAACGAAGCAATATAAAACACATTTTTGTCTTCACCTAATTGTTTAAGTTCTTGAGATAGTTATGATATGGAATCAGAGGCTTTATGAACAAGTGGTCTAGAGCATGACCCTTGTTGTCCCTATTTGTCTAACTGAAAAGTTGAATTTAGCGCGAGATGAATATGGGTACACCTATTATCCAAGATTTAAGTGCAAACGGATCTTGCATGAAGGGTATTGTTGACGTAATATAATAACATTCTTGTTTCTCAACCAAACAACTTATGCTTTTGTGATAGTTCATTTAGGATAGCTTCAATGGTGGTTAACTGATTATACTGTTTTATCGATCAAGTGTTGAGGCATTCTGCTTTTAGTTGTTATACATAAATTTTTCTCAGTTATATTATACTGTAATGAACCTGATTATACTGTTTTATTGACCACGTGTTCAGGCATTCTGCTTTTTGTTGTTATACATAAGAATTTGAGTTATGTTATGCTTTACCGAACCGTTTAGCAATTGATTACCTCTTTTGAATATTTATAAAAGAGGGTTCTGTATTGGAAGTTTTAACATTGTTTACTCTTATTCGGCTGATTGTATATTTTGATTTGTAGACATACACCCTTGCAGATAATCCATATTGTTGCAAATTTCTTGAGGATATGGTCAATATACTCCATGTACCGCTACTTCGTACAGACTGGTGCTTCTGTTGTTCTTTTTCTGTTTGCCTGCCTGGCCCCAGCATCCATCCTATTTTTGATTTTGCAAAAGCCTTGGAAGGGCAGGCCTCTTTCTAATACGCAGGTGAATTTAATTTCTACTCTCTCCAAAGATTACACTGAGAAAGAAGTATTAAATTTTATGTAATAATACTAGTACCATTTGTCTTTTCAGGTTGTTCCTTCTATAATAAATGGTGGTATAACGGCACTGTATCTGGTCTTGTGGGGAAAGGGACTGAAATCATGTGGACCAGTTAGGTTGGTTTTTATATTCTGAAAGAAAATTTCAGTCAATAACTTCAATGTGTCTAGTGCTCAGTCTTAATTGCTTTGAGTTGTTTGACATCATGGCTGATGCTCGGTAATTCAAAATCACTGATTTCCATTTTGTGATAGTCCAATTCCAATTGAACCATTGATGTCATCTTACTATTTTATAGCCATTTCTTTGATTTTAATGAGAACGTTATTTTTATTGTTATATGAACTCAATGTAGTTATTGTTTTCTTATTAATTTAGAGCAATATTGTCTGAGTATTCTGGTGCTGTTCTTGGAGTACTTTCTGCAGTGTTATATGGTAGGAGAGGTCATCTGTGGAAAAAGGTAACCCTTTTCAGATACTCATGTTGTTAGGTATATTATACAAGTTACACCATGAAACCATGTGCTCAAATAAATTTAAATACCTATTCTACAAGAATGTTTTTGCAATATTTCTCATCTGTACTTATCTGCGTTGACAAATCTCTTGTGAAGCTATAACTTGTAGATATTTACTGAATTATTTACCTTTCCCATTCCCAATGAAGATGTCCTCTCCTTAAGCCTGTTTTTAACCCTATGTCTGGTTGTAGCTGTTTTGGAGGATCACCTATCCTACTACCCTGTCCTTTCCTTCTTTCTCTCTAATAGAAAACAACATTTTTTCATCTATACAACTCTATAAAAGACTGTTTCGTCGAATTCTCTGATTAAATAGTAATAAAATATTTAAGCCATAGTTAAGAATCTCAGCAATGCGTAGTGGCCAACTTTGTAAATGATATAGCGGGAAGTGAGATTTTATTATAATCCAACTACATAATTTTACTGCAAGTACTCAAAATAAAAAATGAAAACCAAACATAAAAGAAATTCATGATAAATATTAAGTCACATTTTACTATCTTACAAAGTAGTTTGTGAGGGGAGGATTGCCCCACTTATATACTGTAATTAGGTACTATATCTAGTTAATATGGGACTTGAGTTTTTCCGTTACACCCTGTCATGTCTAGTGATATTAGGCTTGGTACGTGTATAACATGGTGACTGACTCTTTTAATGGATCTAGGATATGCTATAATACCATGTTAGAAAACCTTTAGAAACTATTCAGAGAGAAAGTGAGAAAAGAGAAAAAGAAACTGAATCTTATATTTTCTGAATGAAAGAGAGGTAGGATAAATAAATTTTACAATGGATAGATAGTTAGAAATTGCTAGTGATGACTGACATTGTAACTGACAGTTGTCACAAGTAACTATACAACTAACAAGAATAGCAAACTACCAAGCAGATGCAGTTGAGAACTGCATCTGTTCATCACAACTCTAATGTAGCTGTTTTGGAGGATCACCTATGCTCTCCTGTTGTCCTTTCCATCCTTCTCCCTACTAGAAAACAACATTTTTTTGGTATAATAATCTATATAAAATTGTTTTGTCTTATTCTCTGATAAAATAATAATAAAGTATTTAAGCCATAGTTATCAATCTCAGCAGTGCGTGGTGGCCAACTCTGTAAATTCTATAGCAGGAAGTGAGACTTTATAATTTTATAATGCAAACTACATAACTTTTACTGCAAGTACTCAATAACAAGTGAAAACCAAAAATTAGAGAAATTCATGATAAGTAATAAGTCACATTTTACCGTCAATCACCATCAATCTAGGAGCAATAATTAAAGGTTGGTATAACATGTGGCTGGAGAGTGACTTGATTCTTGTTGTACAAGTTTTTCAAAATGATCATATTGTTCCTCAGTATCTTTGATCTAGATGCCATAATATGAAGTTTAAATGTAAAAATATGAAGTTTCATGTTTCTCATATTTATAGGGAAGGGAATCATTGTACTGATAAGCTGACATGCTTTGGTGTAAAAGAAAGATGTAATCGATGGCGGGATGACATTCTGGACTTTCTTAGATTTGATTTAGTTAGGAATAAATATTCTCAACCCTATTACAGGTTTTTTTCTTGAGTAGGTTTTGGTATAGTCCCCTTACTCTTGTATTTATTTTCTTTATTTTTATGCTATTAGGTATGCTGCAAATGATTGATCAAATATAGGGTGTCAACCTAGTTGGGTCATATGTTATATGGTGATGCTTTTGCATACTCTATTCTTTGACAAAAAAAAAAAAATAATCTAGTAGCAATAAGAACATATTAATGTGGTTATAAAATGATTGGTGACGGTGAAATTAATAGAAAAAGAACATAACAAAATTAGATAAAACTTATTAGAATGTGAATGGGGAAGTTTAAATGGAGAAGACAACTAAACTTGGGAAAATTAGTCCGAGTGTCAAGGAACAAAGGTCAAAACAGAGTTAGCTTGTTGTGGATTGCCCTAGGATGAAGGGTTTCAAATCCTATTATATTTCTTGAGCAAAAACTGCAATTGAAAATGGGAAAGAAATCACAATTTTACAAAAACAACATTTCAGGAGTGAAAAAGGGGTTTTGAAGTCTATGTCATGGTATTGCCGCTATAGCATGTGAATTTCTGCTATTGTAGCTGCAATGGCTTCTATTGAGAACTGCTTCATCTGGATCACATAATAGCTCGTAGGGTTGTTATACTCAGCTGCGTATACTATTGACTACCATGACCTGAGCCCCGGTTGTACTAAATATTAAGAAATATGACTTGTGTTATTGCTTGTGACTTATGTGTTTGAAAGATGAGTTTAGGATCTTAGTATTGTCTCTTATCCAGTGTATACTTTCTTATTTTGAACCAGATAGGTGGCCTAATTGCCATGCTGGCATCTTTATACCTGTTATCAGAAGGATGGGCTACGGCAACATATTCTCCATTCTATATCCTCACTTAGACTGTTATTTTCTCTTGTAAATTCACACAGTTTACTTCTAAAATATTTTTTGCTTTATGTATTCTTTTTCTTCTATGTCATGTTTTTCATACTTTATAGCTTTTCCATAAGATTGTAAACTTAACCAGAATTTACCTTGGGAAGATAGAGCTAATTCTGAGTCTCAGACTGAACCAGATTTGGGCCTGAAGCTAATGTTAGTACCTATAATTGCTGGTATTCTATCGGCACTGAGGAGAGTGATTGCTCGGCGTGTATCAATAAAGGTGGTAACATTTATGTAACTAGCACTTGATGCTTTATCTTTGATGCAAGGTGCTTTGTGTGTATCCATAACCCTGAATATTTTTTGCTTTCAGAATCAACTTAAAAGACGACTCCATGCTTTAACTATTGCTTCTGCAACATGTTTTATGTTTCCTATTGCCATGTGGGACATGATCATAGTGAGTTCTATGTTATGTTCACTTTAAGGTCTATATTAGATGGGGTTATTTCTTTTGTGGAATTCTTATATTGTTTTGTGATTTTGACTTGTCTGACATTTGACAATTTTTGTAACCCTCTTCTCACTCCTCTTTCGGGTCATTTAGGGATCATCATCTGAATCTGATAACAATAAAAAGTTGCCGTTCTCTGCTTGGGCCTTCTTCAGCACTATTCTGTTTGGAAATATTGTGATATTCTATGCTGACAGTATTGCAGAGGAGAGGTATGTAATGAATGATGATAGTCTTGCCATAAGTAAAGGCTAATTGACTAACGGGAAGGTGTTTATGCAATTCTGAACTCAAGTTGCATATACTCTTTAGATTTTTGGAGAAGGTTCTATTAAATAACTATTAACTAATGGCATTCCAGCAGCGATATTCTCCTCATCCTCATTGGAAAGTCTTAGAAACTTGACTTTAAACCTTAACTCAGCCCTACAAACTTGTACGGAGAGATTTATATCCACTAGTATACTAATATTTGATGTGGGTGGTCTAATAGTGCTGCGATAGCAGGTGGCATGATAGGTCCAACAAATCTTTTTAGGATAGACTTGAGACTATCTTAGAAAGTGGACGTTAAGCCTAATTCAACACTATAAAATTGGCTTGTAAAATGAGGTTTGCATCCAACTATAATTTGGCCATGTCGATGTGGGATTTCCATTAGAAAGTTTTATTTAATTTTCAGTTTTATGAAATTATAAATCCTTGTGCAGAATTGTTTAATTGACATCTATCTGATTTCATTAAATGACTATGAAAAATTTAGGTCCAGTTTAATTCCACAATTGATCCGGTAAGCTCTGAATTATATTTGGAATTTTAAGTTGCATGGCATTTGGAACCCTTTGATGTTGTGAAGTAGCTGAAAATTCATACACTTCTTTTGTAGATTGCACATGGTTTTCTCCTCACCAAGGCATTTAGCAGCAGCTGGTGCATGCATCATCATAATGGAGAATGTGTACAGGATGGATTTTTCTCTTGCAGGATTCACGATTTGTTGCTTAATATTAGGTTTTGGTATGTTTAGCAGTTCGTTTTGAAAATTAATGTTCTTTTTAAATTTATTTTTCTTGGATTGTTTGTAGAACTAAACTAGTTTTTGATAATTCTTTGTCAAATCTTTTTTAAGTTATTTTTGTAATTTAGTTAGCGGAGAAATATGTTAGAAACAATCACTTAAGTACAGTAGCTAGTTAGTAAATACTAATAAATATACTGTGATGTACTTTATAGTTTTTTATTTCTAGTTCTCTTACTTTTAGTAAAACTACTTGATGATGTAAAATGCTTATAGCTCACACATGACCAAGCTGATTTTTTACCCATCTTTGATGTTCTGTTCATGTGTTTCAAGGGTGTCTCATTCTCTAACTTGGAGATAGGTCCAGCAGCCCCGCTGCATCTATAGTTTTTATCTTTCTATTTTATTTTTATTTTTTCTTAGTTTTAGTGGAAGCATTACCCATTCCCTCATTTTACTTGCTCTGTATTTCTCTTCTGTTTAATAAAATATTTTTCTAACCATAATGACAAAATTAATAAATGCTAGTGTTCTCAAGGTGCTTTTCTTACAAAGTCCATTCAGAAAGAAAAAAGGGAAGTTGTATAAAAACAAAGTTTAAGGCTGTGTTCGATTTCTATATTGAAAGCTGTTTTTTGTTTAAAAAGAAAATAGACACCCACACCCAGCTCATCACTCACCATATGCAACACCACTTATGATGACCCATTCTTGAGCTATGACCGCCAAAAAAGAAAAAGAGAATGAGAAAACATCTCCCAAGTTTTGGAAGCACTTTCAGAACTTAATAGATTTTAGACAAGAAATTGTCTAGAAAACATTTTTGAAACCAAAAAGTGAGAAGAAGGAAACCAAACCAACCCTAACTTTTTTATACTATACTTGGCTTCTCATAGTCTATATACATGGGTTTCATCCCCTGGATTTTAAATGAAATCTACATGCATTGCTTTCCTATTGCCTTTTCATACTACTAATAACTTGATTTTATAGGAATCTAAAATATTTAAAGGCTTTCTTGTTTAGGGTTTAGGGTTTAGGAATCTAAAATATCTACATGCATTGCTTTCTTGTTTTTAGTGGTTAATCTTAAATGCTCAATGTAATGGACTTGTTGTGTAGGGATATATGAAGCAACTTCATTGGAGCGCAATAGAAAAGATTCTACTCGAAATTCAGATTTATCAATTGGAGATTTTGATGATCCAATCCAGATGTCACCACTACCTACTTGAAGTATGTGTATTTTATTCCTTCAACTTCTTATTATGAAATGTGCATTTAATTTATTGGCAATTGTTTATTTGGTTCACGTGTATGAGTGGGTGCATATCTGTCTTGAGCTTCTGCTTAATTTAATTAACAGTAATTTTTTAGTACTGAGTATCGATATTGTGCTACTGGTGGTAACATGGGGTGAGGCTGATTGCCAGTTTTTTTAATGTTTGTTTAAGTCTTTTTAATGTTCAATGTGAGCAATAATCATAAACATCTAAAAATATATAGTAGGGATACAAGTATAGAGCAATATTAACAATTGATAGAGAACAAAGAAATATGCATGATAGAAACTGGTATGGAGAGGAGTGATAGCAGCACACTTTCTAATACAATTTTTCTAACATACTTCATTATTGGTTGAAATTTATTGAAAACTATAAAATCAATGAGAAGTGATAATGATACCCATCAAAATTTGTGATTTCCAACAAATTTCAGCCAATGTTACGGACTGAGTTGCTTTAATTTTTATTCTTTTCTATCTTAGCCGAACAAATTAAGTAATATGATATCTACACTAACTAGCTAAACGCTAATAAATATGGACAACTAATAACTACTCTTCCCATCTGTTTTCAATGAAATTCTTTTATTCATAATTTGCCCCAAAATAAATTGCAACAAATAATGTTGGTATTTGCAAATTGCAACAGATAAAATTGTAACAATGTTTCAATAACTGACATTTATTATTGTTCTCAATATATGGGAAAAGACCTTAAACTGTGTCATTTTGGAACGAGGTAGTATCTAGCAATGCACCTTTCTGGACAAAATTATAATTGTAAACAAATGGCATGTCTCACAGATGGGAAATTGAGAAGGTTTATTGAGGGAGAGGGAGAGGGAGAGTGATGACCAAGGTATCTTTTCTATAAGAGGAGCACTACGCATGAAGGCATTTTAGTCCCTTGTATGCAAAATGTCGTAGACATTATTTTATTATTTTTATTTTAGTTCCTCACCCTATAGAACCAGTTCCTATAAAAGTGTAAGCTTTTGATACATAAAACATTTGTTTTTTATATTGGAAGATTTTCATTTTAGTCCCTATTATTTAAGAAACATCAAGTTTGTTTCCAATATCTGTTAGACATACTCAACAGGGATCATTTGACGGGAGGGACTAAAGTGAATTGCTTTTTAATAGGGACGCAAACTGATATTTTTTAAGAGGACCAAAATAAAATACAAGAAACGTGTTACGGAAAACAAAAAGTTATTTAAGCCTAAATCATTTCAATTGACAGATTGCTATTCTATTCCTTGAGCATGGAGAGGTGATGTGGATAATCTTAAGACTAATCCGAGCTACACTCTCTTTCAAATACTCTATCTGATATTGGTTGAAATTGATTGAAAGTCTTCAATTTTGGTTGATCCTAGGTTCCATTCAATGACTCTATGGATTTTGGTAGATCCTAGTAAATTTAAATCAATAAAAGAGTGTTTGAAAGAATGTGTTAGGTACTAGCATTTCTCTAATTTTAATTGCATTGCTTGTGTTTCTTCAAGGAGTCTCAAGTTAATTTGTTTTCTGTGTTAGGACACTAAAATATGATGGACTCTTTTGACCTATAGTATCATTTTGTGCACTAGTTGTTGCAGACAAGCTGTTATCTGTTGTGAAGATGTGTTTGTTATCCACCACTTTTGGGAAGCCCCAGCATCTATAGTTTGCTATACACCAAATTGTTGATGATTGATCTTATCTTTGGGGGGTTGAGAATCGCTTTTGACCTACCAAGTTCATTATTTTTCTTCCTACAAGATCATTACTGGTCTGGTGGTTTATTGTGTAGTTTAGGAGTAATTCTCTGTCAGGAAAAAAGCAGCAGCATCGTTCCTGGTCATGGTAGAAGTTCTTTGAATCTTTTTATAATTGAATCACCCATATGAGCTAACTACACATTGTAATGAAATTATGATGCTAAATTGTTGGTTATTCCCTGTATATTATTTTTCCCTCTTTCCCTTTCTCTCTTTTTTTTGTTCCTTTTTTTATTCTATTATTTCCTTTAAAGTATATTTTATGATCTTGATTTACAATGCGTGTAGAATGATGGATTGGACTGGAATTATCTATGTTTTTAAATATGGACAATGATCAAGGCATTATACAAAGTTTAATTAATGGGTCAAGTTGAACAGATATTGATAAAATAACAGTAATAATCAAATAATTTAATATAATAATATTAACTAAATATAATATCATAATTTGATAACACTAACATTTTGCAATAGCTTAACATTTAAATTATATATAAAAGTCTAAATCAAATATATTATAATAATTAAATTTAAATTTTAAGAAATTATGACAATATTAATTAAAAATAAACAGTTTACATCTGGAATAAGAAAATGATAGATATCGTAATGCTAATAACTCTAAAATATATAATATTTTTATTTCAATTTTGTATTTTATGTAGTGTTTGATTGGGAGAAAAGAAAATAATTGGGAAAGAAAATGCAGAGACAATACAATGTAGTTCTGTTTGATGGAACCCCTTCTTCCTGTCATCACTTCTTTTTCTTCCCTCAAAACTTAATCAATAAAATAAAGTGACCCACGAACATGACACCATTTAGTGGGTTGTCTCTGTTTTCGGAAAACTTTTCACATCGGTAGATCCACACACAAAAACAAAATTTTAATAATGTAACTGCTTTAATACAATTTGCTTACTGGGTTTGTATGCGTTGTTAAAAAACACACAATTGATGTTTATAATATTTCATGTGCATTTAGTTGACTAAATAAAAAATATGATGTTAATTAATTTTTTAATTTTCTGTTATCTTTTCTTAATTATGCTTTTATTTAAAATTTAAACGGTTTTCAAGTAATAAATAAATAAATCTAATTATTTTTTTATTATTTAACAGCTAGACTTTTCACTCACATAAATAATAATAATAATAAACTATACTATAATTTTTTTTAATAATCTAGCCGTTTTTTAATACACAATTTATTATATTTTATCTTGGTATTATATAACTATTTTTTATTTTTTAATTATTTTTTATTTTGAATATATTTTTATCTTTTTAACGTTCTAAAATTATTATAAACTATTATTCAAATAATAAAGAATTGAGAATAAATTATTTATTTTAAAAGATTAATAATATAAATTTAAAACACCTCTTTTGTATAAGAGTTTTGATAACTTAAAACTTTCCTTCGTTGTCAATTTATAAAAATTAAAAATTATTTATTTTAACTCATGATATTTAGGAGACAAATTCATAAATTAAAAATTATATATATATATATATATATATATATATATATATATATATTCATGCATCAATATCAAATTCAAACCTGTATATTAGAAGTATTTTTTAAAAGGTTATCAAATATAAATACAATTAAATAGTAATTCTATTAGAGTATGTTTCTTTTTAAATTATCCAAAACCACATAATGAGAAAGTGACTCGGGGTGTAATTAATATTTATGTTTGTGTAAGGGGTGAGTATCATTTCATAATTATAGATATAACAATTTAAACAATAAGTATTATATGCATATATTAATAATATTAGTCACATATAATCAATATTTTCATACAAGAGTTTGGTTAATATTTCTCTTATGTATTATTAGTCTTATGCATCATAAGTATAATCTCAATACTTAATATACCCAAGATCCCTTAACATGCAATAAATATGTCTTTTAGGTCAATGATGATCTAATGTTAGTGTGAAAAGCTATTTATTGGCTATACGCATCGTAAATACATGTTTGTGACGTGTATTATTCTTTATGACTAAAAAGTATAGGTAAAGTATTAGTCAAAAATAGAGTGATGAGACATGATAAGTTCAAAGTTTTAAAATAGATACATCAATTTCAAATTATTTTAAAATTTTACAATTTACAATAAATCATAAGATTCAGATTAATGTTGGACTCATGATAAAAAAAATAGTAGAAGAATAAATTATCAAGTTTAATTTTTAAAAAGAAGTAGAAAACAAACAATAGAAGAGAGAAAGTAATAGAATGAAACTTATATTTATTTTCTCTTTTAATCTGAACCCTAAACCTACTAATTATGCCAATTTAGTTCACATCATTTTTCTATATTTAATTATTTATTTATTCTAAAATAGAGGGTGTTACAAACTTTAATATTTTGATATCACCTTTTTAACCTATTTTAAAAATTATGGACTCTAACTATTTTTTTAACTATTTTTTAAATTTAAATTTTGTTTTATTTTTAGTATTTTGATAACTATAATAGTTGTTTAAAAAAAATATTAGACACCATAGTTCATGCATTTTCACCACCAACAATAATAATAGAAATGTGTAAATTATAAAAATAGAAAAAAAAATGTTTTATTATTACAAAGAATATTTCTAACAAAAAGAATTAAAAGTCTAATAAAGTAAAAAAAGATGGGGGGTTTTTAAATTAAGAAAATAAATAATACAAGATTATATATATATATACATATATATATATATATATATATATATATATATATATATATATATATATATATATATGACACTATTCTAAAAATATTTAAAGAAAAAATCTTATTAAAACAATAAAGTTAAAAAATGTTATAATAAAAAATAATTATTTAATTATAATTTATATAAAATTACTCAGAAACCTAAACCTAAATAAATCCTATCACTTCTCTTTAAAATCTGTCTGTCACTCCTCACTTATCTTTTTCTAAAATCTGAACACTCTTAATGCTTTTTTGCACTGGGTAGAACACTTCTTTTTAAATTCTGGAACCTATTTCACCTTATAATCAAATAAAACTAGCAAAGATAATATTGTCTTGTGTTAAAGTATGAGAAGCAGGAGACAATTCACTACTGCATAGGACTGCTTCCTCCATCATAACAGTATGGATCCAACTGGGAGGACTCTGGTGCTGCATCTTAACAAAACATGTCTACTTTGTCAATGAGTCAAAATAAAAAATTTGCCATGCAACTTAGAAAAAATTTAATGAAAATTCTGTCAAAAGATAATTTATACACTTGAGAGTATTACTAACAATATGATATTTTGATTTGAGCGAAAACAATTCCAATGACAATTACAAGTAACTTTAACAACTTGAACATGAATTTCTGAAAATCTTAAAACTTGTAATGAAATAATTTTTTGGTTTTGCAAGAGTGCAAGAAGGTTTATCTATAAGCCGTGCTTGTTTTCTCTGCCACTCTTCGTCATTTCTTTGGTGATGACATGAGTAAGAACCCCAATAGGGCAAAAGAACAAGCACAGAGAAATTGAATGCCGTGTCTCAATCTGATTCTCTAGTCCATCCAGAAAAACATGTCTGCATTTATAGACACAAATGTTAAAACAGAGCAATAATATTAAGGAGGAACATTATGGAATGATAAGGAAAGAAAAGAAAAGAGAGTGGTCACTAAATTGACATGTCTAAATAAATGTCTCATCATTACTAAATGACTAGAATCGAATTAAAAGATTTCAAAATTTAGGATAAAAATCAACAAATTGTATGATAGAGAATTAAAGTTAGAGTCAATTATATTTACAATGACCATGAAAGTACTTAAATCAATAGAAAATGAAAGATGTAGAACCTTGCAGCAAAGAGATCAACAACCAAAAGGTGAATCCAGGCTGAGGCTAAAGTCATCTCACTGGAGAACATTTTCCCTATACTAGTCAGCTGCACAGGGTATACAGGTAGATAACACAGTAATATATAACTGTTTTCAGAAGGAAGTTTTACTTCTGCTTCACTGCACTTTTGATTTTTTTTCATCGAAATTGTAAGATTTTAGTGCTTCAGGTTTCATTTTAGTCTCCTAAATTTCAATTGTGCTAATTGAGTCTTCTAGATAATGTAATTGAACAACTTTTTGTTCTTTTGTTGATTGGAATATGGTGATGTGACAAAAATTTAAGAGATGTTTAGAACTTGAAGACTATAGTAGCACATTTTGTAATACTTGAATAAGAACTAATATCACACAATTATGATACCAAAAGTGCAATTAAACTTTAACTTTGATGCATACATACCTCTGGTAGCAAGTATTTGGTTGCAAAAATAAGTCCTACTGTCTCAGGGGTCCAAGAAAGGTACAATAAATATGCATACAGAGCACCAAGCACTATATATGGTACACTGCTTTCCATTGATTTCTTAGTCTGCAATTTTGGATTTCAGGAAAATGAATCAGGAACGTCATATGAATTACCGAAATAAAATCCTATGAGAAGGAAGAATATCAGAAGATTCAGAAGATACCAAGCAGATAATCTAGTTCTGTAGAACAAATATATATAGAGAAAAAAAAAGTATACATGCATATCAGCTTATATCATAAATATATTATGCAAATATTTGTGAACCAAAAGGTATAGTGACATATTGAAGATGTTTTGTAAATATAGAAAGAAACATACTACTTCAGAATTTGGAGCTAGAACCATGAGTGTGTAAAATGGGAGCACTGCTGCTGTTCCCAGTGTAAAGGCACTGCTAGCAAGTTCTGATCCTGACAACCCTACAACATGAAGGTAGAACAATGAATATAGGAAACTTACACAGCTCTGATTCCTTTTCCTGGAATGAAAAAGTTAATACTATAAATGAGTCGAATATAGGAAACTTGTTATACCAAAGCAAAGAAATGTTCAATGAGAATACAGAGTATAAAGCAAAAGGGTTGATGATACACGCTCATTAACATTATATTTTGCTAGTAGGATAGAAATAACAATTTTTGCATAAGAATCAAGCTATCCAAATATCTAACACTTGAACCAGAAATTCCTCCCAAGCATTTGTTTGTCCTATTGAATTGTAAATGGTATCAATTAAACAATAAAATAACAATAAATTGCACCAATGTAATATTTTCATCAGAATCCAAGGACTAAGTTCATGGAGTAAATTGACAGTGGACACGGAAAATAACTTATTTTTGCAAGGTGGCATGTGTTAACACCATCTTTGTGCAAAACCAAAATGCTAAAAATGTAACTTTATTAGAGTTCTGAGATTAAATTGGACCAGCACCAGACACTAATCTTGATATAGTGAAAATGAATATTAAAATTATCAAATGTGGCAAAAAAAAAGATTACATGAAGCATATACACGACTGGCTTTCCGAAAAGGGACCAATCTCATGATTTTTGGTTTCATAACAATTCTTGATCCTCCTATGAAACTCCAATCTCTGATTAAGTTGACTCTACTTCTCTGATTAAGTTGACTCTGGTTACAGAGTTCATGCTCAGCACCATTACTTCTGACAGGCAAAGGAAACTTTTGCCCCTTCTCAACTGTACCACAAGGTTTTTTAGTCTGCCCCAAATGATCAATCTATAAGAAATAACACCTCAATTATAAGCAACCTTCTTGAACCCTCAAATACACATGTTATCTAACCATCAGAGTAAATAAACTACAAGATCCATCTAAACAGCTTTGAAAGTTTATTATGCACACATGCAAGAACCTTCTAAACAAAATCACACATGTTTTATGTGTGCAAGACAATTTTGTGGCACAAAGAACAATATGCCCCTTAGCATATAAACAAATGCACAGAATGCAAAACATATATCTCCAATGTGAAACATGCTTAAGAGCCGCTTTCATTAGTAAGATCATATTCATTCAAGTCCAAAACATCCAACATTCAAATGAAGAAAGAAGAACTGAGAGAGAGCATATAAGAGACTGAAACTGTACCTTCAATGCTAATGGAGAATGGCAAAAGAAAGAAGAGAAAGCCATGATTGAAGCAAAACCTAAAGATGGCACTCAATATACTTACATTGAGCAACAATGGCTACTTCATATATAATATAATATAATGCACAGCAGATAAAGGTGACAGGACTTTCCACTTGATGAGAAACAAAGTAGAAGGACATGGCAGACCCAAGAAAGAGAGGAAACAAAAGGGTAAGCATCCACTAATTGTATAGAGTTAGAGTTGTATGGAAGACAGGTAAAGGCACATAGCACCAAAAAATTTGGCAAAAAAAAGGACAACATCCACACTCCACTTGCATCATCTTTTGTCTGTTACACACTTACACTTGTTTTGTGTGACTTATTATTCAATTCTTTATTAAGATGATTACGTATCCTAGAGTTGACCAATGGAACAAAGTTCATCTGAGTTAGTGGGCCACTTAACCATTTTCCTCTTTATTTGGAGGGCCAATTACTGCTTTTTCTCCTTCACCTAAAATCTGCATCATAATTTATTCCCAGACACCAAATTACAACTAAATACCTTTTACCAACTCTTATATAATCACAAATTTCATATAAAATTAAATTTTGCTCTAGTTAAACCACAAAAGCAAATAATCAAATAATTCATATTTTGATTATATATTGTATGATCTATGAGAAAGAAACTTTGAATTTACTGGTCGGTGTTAAATGAAAATCATGATATAATTAAAAGTTATTAAATGAGGTAGCAATTAATAAAAATTTTCACGGGATAATTTGTTTCTTCTTTATTGTATACTAGTGGAAATACACGAATTTTAGTAGAAATACAAGGGTTAAAGGACATGTGTGTCCATATTTGTTGTATAATTAATTTTTTATAATATTTTTTAAAATTTTATTTTGATTTCTCTCTCCATTTCTTAAATATATCCATTTTTTACATTAATTACATATCATATTTTTTATTTATTGTTTTTAAATCTATAAATCATAATAACTATTTTCTTTTAAATTATGGTACTTTTATTTTTTTATGCAATGACAAAAAAATCTTCATTGTATTTTTTATTTTCTAAAATAATCTATAATTTTACAAAACTAAGAAAATGATTATTTATTTTCAACTTTGCTCTTCTCCATCTATATAAATGTTCAATAGCTAACTTTTTTTTCCTAAGCTTTATATATATATATATATATATATATATATATATATATATATATATATATATATATATATTTCTAAAGTTCTTGAACAAAAAATATTTTTTATTAAGAATTTAAAAACTTTTTTTATACGATTTTATTTTTGTTAGATATTGTTTAGATATAGTTTGATATTGTTAAAATATTGTTAGATATTGTTAACCACAATATCAAACAATATCTTTTGTTTATTCTGTTTACTTTCGGTTACTCTTTTAGTTGTATCTCTCTATTATAAATATATTACTCTATGTGTGATTTATACACAAGGGAGATTAATCTCAAACTCTATTTCTTCTATATTCAACATGGTATCTAGAGCTTAAAGTTATTTTGAAATTTTTTTTTTCGCCTTTGACCATTGTTGGAGCCGCCACCACCGCCGCTATCGCTGTCGGTTAAACTGATCTTCCACATCAGAAAAATGTCATTTTTGTTACTGGATATTATTTGGTAGTGTGAAAGTGCATGTGTAGGAAGGTTCTGACAAGGAAAGACTTGGTATTTAAGCGTGTCCATTAATGACCCACCTGTCTTTCCTGGGAACTTACCTGGTGTACTGGTTCATGCCACTGTCATCATCGCCTCCGCCGCCTCCGCCCTTTATGACTTCTTCCGCTCCTTTTAGTACTTCCAATTTTGTCAGTACTGTGTCTGATCCTTCCATCTACACTAACTATGTTAATGTGCACTTATCCATTGACAAGTTAAATGACCCTAATTATACTACATGATCATCAGACGTCAGATTATGGCTTAAGAGTTAGAAGTATCTTGATCATCTTGCCCCGAAAGCACCTACTCTCACTCCTGGTGAGGAAGACCGTTGGGACACCATTGATGCTCAATTATGTGTGGTTCTCAAGGGTACTCTTGATCCTTCATTAAAACAAATTTTTCGTTCCTACGAAACATGTGCCAAAATCTAGGAACATGCCAAGTTATTATACACCAATGATACTCAACGTCTCTATGATGTTTGTTCTAAATTTGTAGATGTTATTGCCTCTAAACATCAAGATTCTATGACTGATTATATGGACAAAATTCATGCTCTTTTTCATGAGTTCAATGAGTTATTGCCTCCTTCCCCCGACCCTGCCACCGAGATAATACAATGATCAAAGTTCTTCATGCTAGGGGCATTACATGGACTTGCTGATCAATATTCACATATTCGTGATCAGTTTTTGGGTTCTCTGGTTGTCCCTACCTTGACATCGACCTGCTCCACTCTTTTGCGTATACCAGCAAAACCCAACCCTGACACACCTGCTTCTGTTAATGATTCTTCTACATTAGTATCTCACCGTGATGACCGAACTCACCCTCGCAAACAGGGAAAATGACGTCCTAAGTATGAACATTATGGCAAGCTAGGTTACAAGATTGACCAGTGTTATGCATTACATGAGTGTGAACATTTAGGGTTTACAAGATCACAACAAGGATACAAATGTTTTTCTCCTTCTCTTAACCGTTATTTTGTGTCAAAAGATGTCACCTTTGATGAGTTGTCTCTTTATTTTAAAAGTCAATCTTCACCTCTGTCTCCATCCAATCTTGTCAACATTCCTAATACATTTAATGTTCCTGTTGTTTGTGATCCTCTAACTGTGTCTTCTTCACCATTAGTTCCTACTCCGTAGTCAGCTTCTTCTCCACTGCCTCTTCAGATTTATAGTTCTCGAAACCAATCACAACCACCACCATGTGACTCTACTCAAGTGCCAACTACTCTGTCTCCTCCGGATCTGACACATGAGTTTGACCTTCCTATTGCCCTCCGGAAAGGTATTCGTTCTACACGTAATCCCTCTCCCCATTATATTGCTTTGAGTTATCATCGACTATCATTACCTTTTTATACATGTATTTCCTCTATTTCTTCAGTGGCCTTTCCAAAAACTGTCCGTGAAGCTTTAGCCCATCCTGGTTGGCGTCAGGCCATGTTAAATGAACTAAGTGTTCTTCATAATAGTGGAACTTGGAAATTGGTCCCGTTACCGTCTGGGAAATCTGTTGTTGGTTGCAGGTGAGTGTTTGTTATCAAAGTTGGACCTGATGGTACTATTGATCGCCTCAAAGCTCGTCTTGTGGCCAAAGGTTATACTCAAATTTTTGGGTTGGATTATGGAGATACCTTTTACCCTGTGGCAAAGATGGTTTCTGTTCGTTTATTTATCGCTATGGCTGCTCTTCAACAATGACCTCTTTATCAACTGGATGTTAAAAATGCTTTCCTCAATGGTGATTTGCAAGAAAAAATATATATGGAGCAACCTCTTGAGTTTGTTGCTCAGGGGGAGTCTTCTGGGATGGTATGTCGTCTTTGCAAATCCCTATATGGCCTAAAATAGTCTCCTAGGGCTTAGTTTGGAAAGTTTAGCAAGGTTGTTCAACAATTTGGTATGACTCGGTGTAAAGCAAATCATTCTGTCTTTTATCGACACTCGAGTGCTGGATGTGTTTACTTGATAGTATATGTTGATGACATCATTCTTACAGGTAGTGACAATCATGACATCTCTCAGTTGAAACAACATCTCTGTCACCATTTTCAGACCAAAGATCTTGGCAAACTTAGATATTTCTTGGGTATTGAGGTGGCACAGTCCAATGATGGTATTGTTATATCTCAGAGGAAGTATGCCATAGATATTTTGGAGGAAACTGGGTTGATGAGTTCAAAGTCTGTTGATACACCCATGGATCCCAATACTAAACTTCTACCAAATCAGGGGGAGTCTATATCTGATCCTGAGCAGTATAGAAGATTGGTTGGAAAATTGAATTATCTTACAGTTACTCGTCCTGACATTTCCATTGCAGTCAGTGTGGTAAGTCAATTTCTTAATTCACCATGTGAAGATCATTGGAATGCAGTCATTCGTATCTTGAAGTATATTAAAGGATCTCCTAGAAAAGGATTGTTATATGGTTCTAATAGCCATACAAGAGTTGTTTGCTACTCAGATGCTGATTGGGCAGGATCTCCTTCGGATAGAAGATCTACATCTGGATATTGTGTCTCCATTGATGGTAACTTGATCTCATGGAAAAGTAAGAAACAAAGTGTTGTGGCAAGATCCAGTGCAGAAGCAGAATATAGAACTATAGCCTCAGCTGCCTGTGAATTTGTTTGACTCAAGCAATTGCTTAGAGAGTTACAATTTGGAGATGTTACTCAAATGACACTTGTATGTGACAATCAGGCTGCTCTTCATATTAGTTCTAATCCTGTCTTTCATGAGAGGACCAAACACATTGAGATTGACTGTCATTTCATTCAAGAAAAGATTATGTCTGGAGATATCAAGACTGAGTTTGTTAACTCAAGTGATCAGTTAACAGATATTTTCACTAAGTCTTTACGGCACCTAGAATTGATTATATTTGTAACAAGCTTGACACATACGATTTGTATGCTCCAGCTTGAGGGGGAGTGTTAGATATTGTTTAGATATAGTTTGATATTATTAAGATATTGTTAGATATTGTTAACCACAATATCAAACAATATCTTCTGTTTATTGTGTTTACTTTCGGTTACTCTTTTAGTTGTACCTCTCTATTATAAATAGATTATCCTATGTGTGATTTATACACAAGGGAGATTAATTTCAAACCCTATTTCCTTTATATTCAATAATTTTTAAAAGATATTTTGGTAGGTTGTGAGTGAACAATATATATAAATTATCTTTGACTTTGATTAAAAATTATTTTTTTCTCTCTCAAGATTTTATCTTTAAAACGTATATTAATATATTAGAGAATATATATAAATTACTTTTACTTTCAAATCGAAAAAATACAAGACTCGTGGATGCATGGAA